AGGGAAAGTCTCAGTAGTTGTGTGTGGCATCGTTACGTCACAGCTTGTTGAGGGGAGCGGGATGTGCGGGGTATTCTCCTTCGGGGTCACTGTCGCCATAGCAACGGCCGCCTGTGGCCCGGTGGCTGACCTCTGTGCGCGTGCCGTGCTGAACTGACCTCCGTTCCTGCGGAACGAGCTCCTGATGCCGCTAGAAACCCGGCTAGAGAGCCGCCTCACCGAGCTGCTGATTGTGCTCAAAGCTCCCTTGTCCTTTTTCAGTAACCCCACATCATCCTCCAGCTCCGCTGGGGGCACCTCGATGTTCCCAGAGTACCAGAACACCCACCAGATGAGGCTGAGAAATATGACGATGGCGCCAGCGTAAATAAGCAGGTCATAAAAAAACACGTTCACAAACACCCCGATGAGAAGCACGACCAGTCCCACAATGTCAAAGGCTACTGCGAGCCAGAAACAGCACGCACAGCGACCGAGGCCCTGGTGGAGTGGTTCCATATCAACACACAGTAGTCATATGACTCCGAAGAGAGGCTGAGATCTATGACAATAGCTTATTCCCCGAGACCTTTATGCCGTGGTACTAAGCTTCAGGGCGGGTGTAAGGTGAGACAGGTGAGCCAGGTGAGCCTCGCTCACAGAGGAGGGGCGTGGTGCACTTTGGAGGAGGGGCTGAAAACACCACCAGGTCGGCAAGGATTTATTTCTTTACACGGTACATAACGGATAGACTGCCTATCGTTGATACTGTATGTTAAAACAAAAACAATAACATACAACAGTTACAAATTAATAGGCCAAGTCATACATAAATTGATACACACATCATACTATTGATACCACTATGTTCAATATGATACATATAACAACAGAACAACATAACATACAGTTAGACTTTATTTGTCCCAATGAGGGAAATTTGTTTTGAGCATAACAAGGGAGAGATGATCACTCCCACCACTCACCTTCACTGCTGTGCACACTATTCACAATGATGGAACAACAAACGATTTTGAACATTCTTTTCAATTTCTGAATTGTACTGCACATTTTTAAAATCACACTTGAGAAATAAGTCTAATAATATAAATAAGAATAGCAACAACCATATCTATAAGCATTTGGCACTTTAGATGCTTTGCAAAAACAGTTCTCTCAGGCAGTTTCTTCTCATGTACTGTCCAAACACTTCTGTAGAAGTATGAAGAAACCGGCAAACAAGTTGAGGACCAGAAAGGCAACCGTAAGTTAAGGAAACAGTGCAGCAGATGAAAAACATAGAATATCAAGCTCACCACCTCAAATAAGTTTGAGGAAACCAGTGGGACCCTGGTATACTGACATAAAGTCTGAAGAAGCCTGGTCAGAAATGGACTAGAATAGAATAGGTTTTTAATGGCAAGTCTTCCTGTGTGGATGACTTGCCGTTAAAAACCTATTCTTCCAATGTGGAAACAAAACTGAGTTAGTCTATACACACAAAACACAAGAAACGTAGTGCACAAAAATGGCAGCAGATGCTCTGGGCCAATGAGATATAAAATATGAAATATGTGAAATATGTCACTCAAAGAGAAGGTTAATTGTTTTCTGAAGGGTGAATATGGTAGGACAAGTCAACTTTATTTATGTAGCACATTTCATACAGAGTCAGTTTAACAGCATTAAAAACAATGAGCATTAAGACCAGAATAAAATCAGTTAGGACAAAGTGAAAATAAAACATTATTAAAATAAGATAACATACATAAAATATGAAAATGAAAAACAAACACAAAATAAGAGGTCTGAAGTAGAAATATAGCAGTTGCAATGCAAAAAACTGCAGCATAGAAACCAGTTAAACAAAGGCTCAGGAAAACAGCTGGGTTTTTAGTTGAGACTTGAAAGTGGCAGAGCTGGGGCACATTTAAAGTCATCAGGAAGTTGGTTCCATCTGTGTGCAGCATAGTAGCTAAAAGCAGCTTCACCCTGTTTGGTTCTGAGCTGAGGTTCTACCAGCTGGTTGCTTCATAAGGATCTTGAAGCCCTGCGGGGTCTGTTTTCTTCAAGCAGATCAGAAATGTTTTTTGTCCCCATACCACTGAATGATATACTATAAACTAACAGAAGGACTTTAACATCGATTCTGTAGGTAACTGTAGCCAGTGTAAGGATTTAAGAACAGGAGTGATGTTCTCAGTTCTCCTGGTTCCTGTTCAAGCTCTGGCAGCAGCGTCTGAGTGAGCTGAAGTTGTCTTGAGTCTTTTTGAGAAGGCCAGGCAAAAGACTGTTACAATAGTCCAGCCTCTTGGAGATGAAGGCATGAATACATTTCTCTAAATCTTATCTGGACATGAGACCTCTGAGTCTTGCTAATGTTTGAGATGATATCTTGTATCTTATGGACCTCGTGGTGCCATATTGTCCCAACAGAGCACTTTGCTCTCAGAGTGCAGGTCTGCTTGTGGTTCCTAGAGTTTACAGAAGTAGAATGGGAGGCAGAGCCTTTAGCTATCAAGCTCCTCTCCTGTGGAACCAACTCCCAGTCTCAGTCTGGGAGGCAAATGATAAAAAGCTGATTTAGTTACAGCCTTGATGTGACTGGTGAAGCTCGGGTTTGAATCAATTATGACACAGAGATTTCGAACTTGAGTTTTTGTCTTTATAGGCCTAGAATTAAGCTGTAGCTACTGCAGTAACTTTCGTCCTTTTCCTTCTTGTTGATAAAAACAATAACTTAAATCTTGTCTTTGTTTAACTGAAGGAAATTCGATTGCACTCAGGTAAATACTTGCTCAAAGCACATGGTGCAGTGTTTAGCGCTGTTGTCTTGCAAAAAGGTTCCAAGTTCAAACCTTGAGACCAACTGGGGCTTTTCTGTGTGGAGTTGGCATGTTGTCCTGGTGCGTGTGTGGGTTTATTGCAGCTACTCAAGTTTCTCCAGTGTCCTCCCCAAGCCTAAAGACATGCACGTTAGGTTGACAACTCTAAATTGGGGTGGCTGTGGCTCATGAGGTAGGGCAGTCGTCTCCTGACCAGCAAGTTGGTGGTTCGACTCCTGGTCTCCCCACATGCCTAAGTGTCCCTGAGCAAGACACTGAACCCCGAATTGCTCCCGGTGGCTTGACTAGCGCCGGTGCATGGCAGCCTGTCGTCATTGGTGTGTGAATGGTGTATGATCTTCTGTAAAGCGCTTTGGCCAGTTCAACACACTGTGAGAAAGCGCTATATAAAATACAGACCATTTAAATTGTCCATGAGTGCGAGTGGTTGCTCGTCTCTTAGTATCAGCCTTGTGAGCCATCCAGTGTCAGCTGGTATTGGCTCTTGCCTCCAAACAGGATATTCAATATAGATGACAGATAAATGAATGTTTTTATTCTCTCATATTTTGTAACGGTCTCATTTCCATTTTTCCAATCTTTAAAAAAATATATTTTATTGATTATTTTTAAAATTGTTAAATCAGATTTCTGTCAGCATCTGTAGGTAAATAGTAGTTGGTGACACATCAGTAGTGAACTGGAATTGGGCTGGTAATCGTTAAACCTGTGATGACCGTTGAGATTGTTTGTAGAGAGACAACCCACAGAGATCATTATTTTTTTTATTAGCCATACCTTGTACTAGAGACTTTAGTGTCTGTTTAATACCTTTTGTGTATGTAGCTGAAAACCTGAAATTTATACAGATTTCACATGCTGGTGGTGAAGCATGTGAAATTCAAACACACTGTATACTGACATAGGAATATAACAACTTTTTCATTGAGATATTTTGACGTGACGGCAAAAACAACAACAACAAAAAAAAAGGTCTAAATAAAACTATGCCTCTAACCAGTCAAATTCACAAAATCAGGACAGGTGTGAGGACACGGTGACCTAATCAGTTCTTCCTCGAGTTCAAATGGATGTTTCAGCCAAATCTGAAGAAATTCACTCAAGGCACTCCTGGGATATCGCATCCACAAGACTAACACACAAGGAAAAGACGCAAGTGGGGGAAACAACGGTGCTTATAAGAGACTTTGGATGTACCCATGGTGTTTCTCGTCTTTTATATGCGTCGTTGCCCTCACTTGTCTTTTCCCTGCATCTTAGAGTACATTCCAAATCTATTATAAGTACCGTCACTTCCCATCTTGTGTGTCAGTCACACCAACGTAAGATTCAAAAAAAATGCCAGGAAAACATTCAAGGAGTGAGGTCTCAAGGAAACACATTAACATCATGAGATTCCTATCCTTCATCTGAAGCATCCAATCGGCAATTTCTGATAGAGGTATGTTAGAAAACAAAACCACTTCCACAAAGTATGGCCTCATGCATCCTCGGTTCATTACTCTCTGTAGCAGTAAACATGGATCAGACATTGCTGGTGTATTTTATCTTTATTACATAACTAATCAGGCACAGACAAGCGATGTATTGTAAAAAATAGAATTAAAACAAGTACATTTTGTGGTAGCAGCCTTTTGAGAATGCTGGCTGCCAGTTTCAGTACAGTCACTTATTCAAAGTTCTCCATTTATCTTAAATGTTGGTCAGCCTAATGAACAATTAACAACACAGTGTGTGTGTGTGTGTGTATTTTGAAGATGAAAAGGAATGTTTAAAACAGAGCTTACTGTAAAACAGAGCTTGCTGAATTAATGTGGTTTTAAAATTTTGGCACTTTCTATATTATCCCAAAACTATCCTGGGCATTTCTGTGCTGGCATTTGTTACTTATCAGCTGACAGACATACTGACTGCAATATCTGTAAAAAGTGTCTGTTCAGAATACGAGGCTGGACTGCTCACCGTGGCGCTTGCTCTAAGGTTGTGGACATACTAATTCATACAGTTTGTTTTTAAAAACAATTATAAATTATTTCATTTTTAAGAATAAAACTGTTCACCAACATGTGCCCAGACAATGCTTAAACTGTATTTAAAAATGACTATATCAGGAGTCCCATGTATGTTGCATGTAACCAACTGGTGTTTTGCCAACTTTTATCAAAGATGTTGAACACTTAATCCACACCGACATGAACCCTGAATCATAAGGCCAGCCAATGGAACATGCTCTGAATAACACACTTTGTTTTCCCCAATTTGTAATTTTATTGTCATAGTTCTTTGTTTTAATAACATTCGAATGCGCTCAAGCACACTGCTAGAACACCACGAGGAACCAAAAACTGGGTAAAAGCAAAGGGAGACGTACACCCAAGATAAACATTTGGTTTGATCTGGTTAAGTTCTCTTAAACAATTTGTTTTGCAATTAGCTACTGAAAATCTGTTTTATACTCCGAGCAAAATCATGGTCCCCATCTGTTTACAGACATAGCTTCCGCCATTTGTCTTTAATTAAAAAAAAAAAAAAAAGAAAAAAAAAAAGGAGGAAAAGATGTATTGGTGAGTAGACCAGAGAAGAGAGGTGGGGAGAGGTTGGAGAGAGGGCTAACCCAGAAATAGCATAGCTGAGCTCTCAATATGAGAAAGCTGACTCGTGTGGATTTAATCTTGGTTGTCATTTGCTTAAAAGCAGGTTCTTTTTCACGAGTTATTTTTTTGAAGCTGATCTTTGAGACGCAGAAGGGGGGAGTGTGACAGGTCGGTGCCATGCCCCCTGGAAACAGTGTGGGCGGATTATGACCAAGCTCCACCTGTTCCTTGTCGCTAGGGCTCTTAAGACAGCTCCATCCTCTTCAGTCCCGCTCAGCAACCAGCTTCAACACTTTACCGATGGCGATGGTCTTACCTGAGACACAACAGCAACAAAAAAAAAACAATTATACCTTTTACTGAATTTAAATCCTGTAATGTAGAGGGATATAACGATAACCAAAGAGTCACGATATGATATCACCACAATAAAAAGTCCACAATATGATAATCACTACAGCCCTAAATCAGAAAAAGTTGGGACAGTATGTAAAATCTAAATTAAAACTGAAAAGTGATTTGTAAATTTTAAAATGCAAATTGAGTCAACGAAGACCCAAGACTGTTGTGCACTTTAAGAAGTGTTTGCAGGAAGAATGGGACAAAAAGACATCTGACACAATTAAATAACTTGGTGTCCTCAGTCCCTAAATGTCTTAAGTGTTGTGAAAAGGAACAGCAGCATCGCAATATAGTAAATACCTGACTCTCCCCACTTTAGTTGGAATATGTTGCAGGTATCAAAATTGAAGTGTTTATTTTGAACAAAGAATAAAATAGATGAGGTGTCAGATCAAATAATGTGCTGCTGTATTGTTTCCAATGTAATTCAGGACACAGATGATTTACAAATCACTATTTTCACTTTTAATTTTACATACTGTCAACTTTTTCTGAGTTGGGGTTATACATTACAAAAAAGAAATGGAAAAAAAGCCCTTGACTAATAAACTGGCATGTTTTATATCATTTGCCTTTTAACTTAAAGTGCTCCTGCTTTGCTTCTTTAAAAAAAATAAAATAAAATTAGCCAGTCATGACCCAAGCATGTGCCACAAATTATCATGAACTGTCACTGGTACTGAATGACTGGATCTTGTAAACAAAACAAGTCACTTTCACAGTTAGTACCCCCTAGGCTGGTTTAGCCTTTTCTATCTAGGGGCCGATGGTCCAGTTCTCGGGGCTGGACCAACTGAAGCAGGTATCCCCCTCTCCGTTAAAGTGTTAACATACTACAGCAGCAGGAAAAAATTTTAAATGTTGTGTTAAGAATCAATATAATATTTATGAATCTAGCTATTTCTAACCACGTCGATTAAACAATTTGTCATTTCCACCGCCCTTAAACACCATTTACCAGAGCCTGACACTGATACTAATAGAAACTACCGTAATGAACTACCGAACAAAACCCTACTGAGATCCCTACTGAGAAGGCAGAAAAACTATCGTTTTTAAATGGCAGGTAAATGTTCACAACTTGTAGTTACAACCTGACCGAGGTGAGCAGAAAAATACATGCTGTGTTTAGACTCCGATTTGAAAATGGAGAGCCAGATAAATGTGGTCGTAAAATCTGTTTTTTTTTTTCTATTTAAAGCAGTTAGTGAAATTAAAACCCTTTTTGTCGTGGCAGCATTTTGAGACAGTGATCCATGCGTTTGTTACATCACGTATGGATTACTGTAATGCACTGTACGCTGGAGTTAGTCAGTCGGGTCTTGCCCGCCTCCAGAGGGTCCAGAATGCTGCCGCTCGGTTACTGGTTGGGGGGTGTAAGAGAGACCATATAACGCCAGTACTGGCATCTCTCCATTGGCTTCCGGTGCGTTTTAGGGTTCATTTTAAGATTCTTTTATTTGTTTATAAATCTTTAAATGGGCTGGCACCATCTTATCTTGTGGAACTTTTGCGTCCGTATAATCCGTCGCGGTGCCTCAGATCAGCTTCTTCTGGAGGCACCGAGGGTCAGGCGGAAAACTAGGGGGGATAGAGCCTTTGCTGTGGTTGGTCCAAACCTGTGGAATGCTTTGCCGCTTTATATTAGGCAGGCCCCCTCGTTGTCTATTTTTAAGTCTTATTTGAAGACCTACTTGTATTCATTGGCGTTTGGCCAGGAATGAGACTCCGTCTGTAGTGTTAGAGTGTTTATTTTATTGTTTGTGTTGATTTTAGATTTGTATGATATGTTAAGCGCTTTGGTCAGCTGTGCTGTGGTAAAGCGCTATATAAATAAAGTTGAGTTGAGTTGAGAGTTGAGTGTTTGAAGTGTAAATGTATCTGAAACATTTCTTAGACAGCTACTGACTCCAAATACTAGAGGTTCTGGTTCACAACCATTTAAAATGTTGTGATAAGAAGTTTAACTAAGGTTCTTAAATTGATATCGGGTGATCAACTGATCATTTCACAAAGGAGTTACCAGTCTGTTTATCCATGTTACATAATACCAATCAAAAGTTTAGACACTCTCTCTTTCAATGATTTTTTTCTTTGTTTCTAGTACTTTCTATATATTAACATCAAAATTATAAAATTACACATATGCAGTTATGTATAAACAATACAGGCAATAAAGTACTTTTTTTTTTTTTTTTTTACAAAACCCCAATGTCTGCAAGTGCTCTACCTTCATCCCGTAAGGTAAACCGTCCCATTTGAGGAAAGTCTTTAAAAGTCTCAAGGCAAATGGTCCCCGCTGTGCGCAGACGGGCGATGCAGACCTGGTCCTGTTTGACAAATCGTGGTCGTGTCTTACTCTTCTCTCCCGTCTTCTTGTCTACCAGACAGATTAAGGCCTGTAGGGGGGGGGGGGAAGAGTAACAGTATCAGCACATACACCAGCATAATAAAATCATTCTGAATTAGTATCTACAACTAGGCAAGAATTAATCTTATGACAGCATTATCAATCCACTGTATACAGTATATTACATATACACTGCTCAAAAAAATTAAGGAAACTAAATCACACATCAGATCTTGATGAACAAATTATTTAAGTTGAAAACATTTACTAATGAACACTGTATAATGTGTTCAGAAAAAAAAAGACCTAACAATGGTCAACAGAAAGCAAAATCATCATCCCATGGAAGAGAAAAATGGAAACCACAACCACATTCCAAGTTGTGTGAATTTCATCATAGCAACTCATAATTTGACTCAAAGTGTGTATGGCCCCTGCGTGCCTGTATGCACACCTAACAACATCTTGGCATGCTCCTGTTGAGTCAGTAGATGTTGTCCCTCAGGGATCTCCTCCCAGAGCTGGATCAGAGCATCAGTGAGCTCCTAGACAGTCTATGGTGGTATTTGGTGCCATCGGATGCACCGATACATAGTGTCCCATAGGTGCTCAGTTGGATTTAGGTCAGGGGAACGTGAGGTCCAGTCACTGGCATCAATGCCTTTGTCATCCAGGAGCTGCCTACACACTCTGGCCACATGAGGCCGGGCATTGTACTGCACCAGGAGAAACACAGGACCTGCTACATCAGTGTAAGATCTGACAATCGCTCTGAGGATTTTATCCCAGTACCTCACAGCAGCCAGGGAACCATTGGCTATGACATGGAGGTCTGTGCGGCCCTCCAAGGATAAGCCTCCCCAGACCAGAACGGTGAATACACCCTCCTCCTGTTCCTGGTGTAGTTCAGTGCGAACCTGCTCTCATCTGTGAAGAGAACGACGCACCAGTAGTGGACCTGCCAATTCTGGTGTTCTCTGGTGAATACTAATTGAGCTGCATGGTGCTAGGCTGTGAACACAGGTTGTACCAGAGGACATTGGGCCATCATGACACCTTCATGAAGTCAGTTTCAGACAGTCTGGCCAGAAGCCTGCACACACCAGTAGCCTGCTGTAGGTCATTTTGTAGGGCTCTCACAGTGCTCCTCCTGTTCCTGTTCCAGGAGCAGATATTGGTCCTGCTGCTGGGTTGTTGCCCTTGTATGGCCCTGTCCAGCTCTCCTGGTGTAACATCCGGTCTCCTGGTATCTCCTCTGTGCTCTTGAGACCATGCTGGGAGACACAGCAAAGTTTTTTTACGACTGCAAATATGGATGTGCCATCTTGGAGTAACTGGACTACCTGTGCAACCTGACTGGGCTGCAGGTTCTGCCTCATGCTGCCAGTAGTGACAAGGACACTAGCAAAACACAAAAGTTCAGAAGATTCACTCAAGAAGGATAAGGGGAGAGCATTTGTCTGTGGCCACCACATGCAAACCTATTCCCTTTTGGGGGTTGTCTTGCTTTTGCCTCTTCATTGCACCTGCTGTCACTTTTCATTTACGCTAAAGCAGGTGAAACTGATTCACAGTCACTTGTGATTCCTAAATGGACAGATTTATATTCCTAAAGTTTAACTGACTTGGCGATACACTGTGATGATCAAGTGTTCCTTTAATTTTTTGAGCAGTTTATATCATTAAACTTGTTTTATCATAGTAGTCAGCTGACCAGGAATTAAACCAAAACCATAACAATGGTTAAATAATCATAATTCCCATTTTTAAGAAATGCGAAGACCTTGTGAAGGTCTAATTTTCTTAGAGTGGCACGTAAATTAGCATTATGTCTTACTGTGATTTGCACTTCTTCAATGCAGGTATGAATGTGAAGGACTGCATTGTAACCTGGACAGATGATGGATTTGTGTTCAATGATGACAATCTGAGGAAAAAGCAGTTACAGTGATTATGAGTAGGCACATTCTAAAACAAGAAGCATTTGGTCACATTGATGAGCACTCCTACTGCACCAGACACTTCACAGACCATTCTGGTGTTGGTCACTGAGGTCGTCCTCTGGTGTAGTCTGCTCAAAGGTATTTACATAGAGGAAATGGGGCAGGCTGAATCAACACCATAAACAGTCACTGTGCTGCCTTCGTTTGTGGTCAATGATTGTTTTGATTTTACACGGAGCTCTTAGTGTCACCATTCATCTGATTGTACAGTGTCCCCAAACTTGGGGGCAGCACGTTGTTGTTAAATACTTTAATAATATCAAGAGGTTAACAGGTTGAACTGCTGTCAGATGAGTGGATCATGTCAAATTATGAATCATTTTGATGTAGCCTGGGAAAGAACAGCCAACTGTGGCACTACATCAAGCATAAGACATGGGTGGAGTGAAAGAGAATGAAGAAATGAGTACAAGAAAGATGTTGTACTGGACTACATTATATTCAGAGGTGTCTCTATATTTTGCGTATAATCCCATTATAGAGTTAAGTAAACCTTTAGGCTCCCTCCATTAAACATATTTTGCTTGGGGTCATTTCATTTGGATCCTTCATATTTATGCTACTGAATGATCTGATTCTATTCAGCTCGCTGATAGGAATGAAGGGATTCAAGTTGCACTTAAGAACTGTTTTTCATAACTTTGTGCTCAAATATCAAAGCGGTCAACCAGAGAAATAAAATGTTATTTTCTAATTGTTTTTTGGCAGTTATGTTCTAATAAATACAGGCACACCCCTGCAGGAAGGATTTAATGTAAATACAGTCAAAATGCAGGTTTCATCCTTTTGCCTGCTCTTTGGCCTTTGCCCTACACATACCCTCATGTGTACGCAGACACGAATAAAGGAAGTGCACTTTTTTTTGTATTCACACTTCAAATCAGGAGTCATTTTGTTTACGTATGCTGAGGGTTTCTGAGCATTGTGGTATTTGCGCAGTTGGGGCTTTAGCAGTGTAGACGCAAACTTCTGGCCTGCATGTGGACCCTCGCAGATCTGGGAACAGAAAATTATGTTGCTTGTCCTTAGTGGACATGCAGACGTGCAAAGCATGAACAGCCCTCAGTGCTTGAGCTTCACTGCTGCAGAACAGGCATCTTGTGTCCAGCAGATAAACGTTTAAAACTTTTGTACATTTATGTTTTCATATTCATAGATTCTGGATTTTTTTTAAGCAAGCAAAGAATAGATCTGAATTTGTATTTTATGTGGCAATTGAATGTTATACAATATCCACTGTTCACAGAAGAGTACTTTATACATTTTAAAAATGTCTGAGGGGATCTCTAAGGGTTTTATAAATACATTTTTATTCAACATTTGATCACCATTTACAAAAAGCCAACATCCTATAATAACCAATGCAACATGTAATAACTTATTATTACTGTTACTGTCATCGCTACTATTATATACAGTTACAATGTGAGCAATGAATTTGAATTGTGGAGCTCCAGACTAGTGCTGTGGGAGATGGTGCTTTGTTTTGGGCTGTCAAAATAAAATATAGGGGAATCTGGTGTATACAAGTTTGGGCTGCAACAAACGATTATTTTAATTACTGAGTAATCGTTCAATTACTTTCTCTATTAAATCTTTTATCAATAAAATGTCATAAAAAGTGAAAATGCCTGTAATTTCCCCACAACCCAAGGTTATGCATTCAAAAAAATTTTTTTTTTATATTACAAAAAGCATCAGATCTTTGGCTTTTCTGCTTGAAAAATTACATCGCAGATAAACTGATTATCAAAATAGTTGCAGATTATTTGTGTCAATAAACAAATCGACTAATTGACAAACAATTATTGTACAGTGTATCTCAGGAAGTGCAGAACTGTGAACTGACCTGAGCATCGAAGGTGCGCCCCGAGTGGCAAAGGTTCTCAGCATTACAAAGTATAAAGCCAGGCAGGATCTCCTCTTCCTCTATGCCTTTTAGTCGCAGTTTGAGATTTTCACCCGCCACGGCATCGTCTGTCTCCACATCATCTGACAAGAGACTCAAAACCTCCACTACATGCTGCATTAGAAAAGACAACAGGTGCAGAAACATGGGATAAAAGAAAGACATAGAGGGAATGTGTATTTGAAAAGTACTTAGATGCATAAAAGTAGAAAAAAAACATTAAAAACAAGAGCATTAGTTAAATTATACAACAGTCAGGAAGAAGAATTATTCAGTTACATCCGGTGAGTAAGCAATATCCATCCTTATACTACAAAACATGATCTATGTGAGGCATTTCTACTTTGAAATTGGGACAGCTTACCCTGTTTGGCATCATGACCAGCTGCTGTGCTTTACTGATGGAACCCGACTCTAGTTTCCCCAGAATCACTGTGCCCATGTCCTGATGAATAGACAGATCAAAGATTGTTACAATGAAGGTGAGAGAGAGGACGCATGTGTTTGCATCAATTCAAGATGGCAAATTTTTGTTACTTGTATAGCTCGGACATCAGGAAAACTCAGTATACATTACGGTGTGCCCCAAGGGGTGCAAGGGCGATGAAGACAGACACTACCAAAATTTTGGTAAAGTTGCAAAGATTCAAAGTTCCTGGTTCGGTAAGTCATAAGCGAAACATTGTTAAAACAACTGTAACCATCAGTGCGATTCTTGCACCTCTCTACTGGAATTCTGGACCACTCTTCTTTTGCCAACTGCTCCAGACAATAATGAACCGGAGGAAGTAGCAGAACAAAAACATAAAAAAATAAAATAAAAAAAATCTTACCTTGTATTTATCTACAATGGGCAATCTCACGGGGCCATCACTGGATCTATTGAAATTTGGCAAACTGTCCAAGTGTGGAATGAATGGTAAACCTCTGCAGTAGTATCAAATATGAAGAGCAGTTAACAAGGATGGATAAGCACAAGAAATTGTTTGTGTGTATACAAATATCATACTAACAGCAGAAAGCAGAAGCTTAAGAACTTACATATACCAGGAGCAAATCTCAGTGGGCTCCTTCAAGTTTGCTCCTGTCAGCCCAGAGCAGGGCATGAAATGAATGTCTTTCTTTGGATTGAAGCCCACCTTCTTCAAAAATGGCAATAGTTTCTCCTTGCACTCTTCATACCTGAGGGGTTAAACAACAGGAGGGATGTCAACATCTTTATAGAAAGACCAGCTCATATCACTATAGACAGGCTTAGAGCAATACAAATATTAGTAATTACTTTAACTGACTTCAGCTCTGAGTATGAGACTAAAACATGACAATTTTAGCAAAGAGAGCAGAAAAGTCTACACTAACGTATCATCTTCTTTCTTTGTTTGTTTCTTAACAAAACATATAATCATTAACATGGTTAAATGATAGAAAACATTAGAATACCTTTCAGTATAATGGAGTCTAACACACCACCACAACTACTAGCCTTCTCAGAAATGTCCAAAGACTGAATAACTGCAACAATTGGACCCTCTGGGAAAGGTTTCAGTTTTAAAGTAGTGACAGGAAGTATGATGCTTGCATGAACAAAAACTTGGAACAGAGCAGAAAACAATGATTTCTTTCCATATTTGATCTTTAGGTTGCATTTCATCTGGTCATGGACACCAGAGGACAGTTAGTCTTCTTAAACTTCAACCCAGTTTTTCTGTTCATCCATGGACACGGTCCCTTTAAATTAACCTATAAATAGTTCTATATCTTACTACTGTTGAGTATTCAAAGTAAAATATACATTTTAGATCATGCTTCCCCGTGTGGGGTTGTAGCAAACTACCGTGTTGTCCAGTTAACTCGCACAGAATGTGCGATGCCTTTTTTGTTTTTACAAGCATCTCATATAGCAGAAGGAACTCCATTCTAACAAAACATAATTATTGTGTTTGTCAGGGTCAACAACTAAAAAATTACTTGAATTATATCTTTATTAATAAGATAATTATTGATATGAAAAAAATTGACAAAATATTCAGCCATATCACCCAGTCCTAATCCAAAATGTTGATTTTTTTTCCTGATGGAGCTCACATGAAGACTATTTTTGTTGTAAGCCTTCTGAAGACAAGCAGACAGCTATTCTGAAGGCAGAGACAATAAATGTGCTTTTCATGCTGAGTGAAGCTCTAGAGATGGGCAAACCTCTGAGAACCTAACTTATTAACCATTAAAATAATGCAGATTAGTACTGTTATTGACAAATATCTAGCCTGTATTAGTCCATAAAATTAAGTGTTTATCTTCATAGAGATGGAAGATTGGGCTCAGGGATGCCCCCCTGCCTTAATACCTTGTGGAACCACCTTTTGCATTAATAACAGCCTTGAGGCTGTTTGCATACTTCTTTACCAACTTTGCACACTTAGAGCAATGTTTACATAATGGTTCAAGCTCAGTCAAATTGGATGGTGACTGCTGGTGTACTGCAAGTATTCAGGTCTGGGCTCTGATTAACTGTTGAAAGGTGAACCTTCTTCCCATCTTTTCTGTGGTAAAAAATGTTCAAGCCTCACACACAGTACAGGCCATTGATACACTTCAAACAAAGTTTGAGAGATGGTGGGACTCAAGAATTCCATATATGGCACTAATGTCATTGCTTGCCCTCCCTTGGCCTACACCTCCAGTCAATATTTAATCTGTACCAAAACCCTCTAAGGAACCAGTGGCAGCTAACTTGTTGAAAGATTTGCATCTCTGCGAATTACAGTGTTGTGTTAAAAACAGACATGGAGAGGAGCAGCTGTTAATCGACGGTCCACTGTCAATGTGCGAGACAGCGAGGCATGGAGAGGCTGGGCCAATCAATGCTCTGAATGCAGCTCTATGATTAAATAACATTTTAGTCACTTTAAAGAGTTAAAAAAAGAAAAAAAAAAAAAAGAAAATCAGCATGTCAGTCAATACTGATATTGTGTCGGGCTGACACAAATAAATCACTAAATGGGAAACACTGGACTGTGAAGGAAGAGAGAGAATACATGGAGTTCTCAGTTTAAGGTGCCCATGGCATGCTTTTCCTTGTTTTCTGACTTGTCTACAATGTTGAATTCTCATCTTAGATGTGAACTAAAGTGCAAAATGAGGTGTTCTTGTGTGTTCTAGTACTTCTATGCAGAAGCAACTCGGTTTATACACGTCTCGCAAACTCTCGCTCACAAGACCCCCCCGTGGAGAAAAATACAGGGCCTGAGGTTACTGCATGTCTAAGAATGTTCCGGGACAGGGACTGGCTGTTTTACCTAACTGGGTCCAACCTACGATCAGTGGCTAGTGAAGACCCCGGCAGTAGTTAGTGATCAGCTCATCAATGCTGGATTCCCCTGGAGCACAGTATTTGTTTGCTTTGACTGCTTGAGGCCAGTGTATTAATTTCACCACTTTGGGAATGTATGTGGTCGTGTGGGGGAAGACCCAGTGACCAATGGTTGGATTTACCGACCTTGGAGCTACTTGAAAGGGAATAATGTTTCCACTACTTGGTGGGACTTAACGTTAAGTTTAAAAAACACACGTTGTATGTCTGTCAATGCCTTGTTTCTGTAACATTAGAGAAAATTGTTGTAAGGCTGGAGAAGTTACTATGTCTGCATTATGCCAGTTAAAATATGGGGTTTCTCAATTACCTGCTTTGTTTAGAGTGTTACACATCTCTTTTCATCGGTACATATACCGTTGTTTACCTATTATGGAGGAGAAATTCGTATTAATTGATGCAATTGCGGTTCGTTGTGCTGTCCACTTGCAACACAACACCGGCAGCAGGAGTTGTGTGTGTACACAAACTGTCCTCTCGTTTTAAGGAAGAGGCTATTTGGCTCTCTGATTCTGAAACAATTACAAACTATTTGGAGTTATGAGGGGTGCCAAGCTAATCTAGAGGTAACCAAGATTAAACATTAAATGGCTGGAAATTAGCAAAATGAGCATGTCATGGGGACTTTAAACAAAGTGTTTTTCATTCTGTTAATGTCTTTTCATTTATTGAATTGCCACAGTTATCGAAGGCTATGTTAAACTGCATTAAATCAACGTTTCTGTTGTAATTTTTACATGCATTTATATCTGGGCCACCCAAAACATACTTTGGCCACCAAATTTAGGGGCTTTCTTGAGCAGTGGTTTTTTGTTGTACCAGTGACTTTTGGCTTTTCCCATTTTAGGGGTAGCCACAGCGACTCGTCACACAGACGACTTGCATGTTGACATTTGGCACGTGTTTTACGCCGGATGCCCTTCCTGACGCAATCCTGACTCAAACCCGGGCTGCAGCAGGGAGAGCACTGTACCTTAACCACTAGCCTACCAGGGACGGCTGTAACCCTCCCATACAACCCAAATTTGTGGAGCAATTGTGATATTGTTGTCACATGTACACAATTGACCATTTGTTGCCATGAAGTCCTGTTACTCCATCAAAGTTGTCACCGGCCTCTTGGTAGCCTCTCTGACCAGCTTCCTATTTGCTGTACCATCCCGTTTGGTGGAACCGTCTGACCCAGGCAGAGTTATGGCAATAACAAACACCTTCCACTTCTTAATTACAAACTTTGCTGTGCTACTATGGATACCTAAAACTTTTGAAATCCTTTTGTACCCATCCCGACTTGTGCCTTTTCACAACTTTGTCCCTGAGATCTACTGAATGTGCTTTGCAATCCATAGTGAACAGTTTCCTTTCAGTTTCACTACCAAGCACTAGAATTTTCTAAAATTAGATTCTTTGATTCTAAACTAATTGAAATCATTACAACTGCTCACATGCAATCCAGAAGGTGCATTGAGTAAATAAAGCTGAAAAAAAATTCAAGTTTTTTGTATTTTCACTCAAAGCTGTAAAACAAAATGTGAATGCTTTGCATGGGGGTGATTCCTACTGTATATAAAATATATAAATGCAAATATTCTTAATGAATCTCTCAATCAAACCTGGCACCTTGCCAATGGGGAGCTTCTCAACAGCTCAGAGTCTGTCTGCGTAGTATGTACAGTATATAAAGCACATGCACATCTGCAGCTTCCCACCCTGGAGTATGATCAGGACTTTACATTATTACTCTTTGATCATCATTATCCATTTACTCACCTCTCAAGGCTCCAGTTGACTGTAGGATCATCCATTTTATTCACAAGAACTACCAGGTGCTTGACACCAGCTGTTTTGGCCAACATGGCATGCTCCCGTGTCTGTCCACCCTTCTCAAAACCAGTTTCAAACTCACCTTTCCTTGCAGAGATCACCTGAGGGACAGCACATTCATTCAGTCAAGACATTTAAAGAGGTTCTTAGGGTTGCCAACTCAATGTGAAAAAGTAAGGAGCAACCTCCCACCGCAGACTGCACCAGCCCCTCCTGCATTACTATAACAATGCATGACAAAGAAGCACTTACAAGTGAATAATATTTATATCATTTTGTTATATTGTCTATTTACATAATTCAATTATAGATTCTAAAACTTGTCTGGTGTTTGTAGAGGAATAACTGGGAGCTGTGGTCCTGACTCCACTCTGCTGCTCTGCTCTTGTTGTCTGCTTAGGTACTGCTGCGAGTTATTTGAAGCACTTGAATTTTTTTGATTTTAGCTTTTCTCTGAACTTCTCAACCACACCTTTACTTTTTTATTAATGAAAAGTGAGTCACCAACAGTCCACCTCTGCTGCCTCAGTGTTTAACAATTCATAACAAACCATTTCATGCAGGTCAGTGCAAATGTGTAGTGAGTGCAATAGTAAATTACTAAATTAAATTAACCAACTAATAGTAAATAGTCTTTAATAGTCATCAACAGTAGGCTTGTTTTGTGTGTTGAACATTTCTTTCAAATCCATGTTCCCACATGAACAAATTAAGTGGCAGACAGGAGCACAACATAGCACCCTTTGCTTAGCCAAGCCTCTGATTCCATCCATCCATTTTCTTCCGCTTATCTGAGATTGGGTTGTGGTGGCAACAGGTTCAGCAAGGTAGTCCAGATGTCCCTCTCCCTGGCAATATTTTCCAGCTAAACTGGTGGGATTCTGAGGTGTTCCCAGGCCATATGAGATGTATAATCTCTCCAGTGTGTTCTAGGTCTACCCCAGGGTCTCTTACCAGCCTGACATTCCCGGAAAACCTCCAAATGGAGGCACCCTTAAGGCACCCTTGTACGATGCCCAAACCACCTCAAATGGCTCCTTTCGATGTGAAGGAGCAGCGGTTCTACTTCTCTTTGTAGTGTCCTGAGACCACCTTTGCTGTGATTTGGTGCTATACAAATAAAGTTTAACTTTCTGCCTGTCAGCTTCACACTTAATTTTACCCTTATTTGTGATCAAAACCCCAAGATACTTAAACTCATTCACCTCAAACAGCAACTCATTCCCAACCCAGAGGGTTGGGGCCACCACCATGGCACTTGAAGGTGCTAACTCTTATCCATGCTGCTTCACACTCAGCTGCAAACCGGCCCAGTGCATGCTGGAGGTCACAGTCTGATAAAGCGAGCAAAACCAACAGCAAATAACAGAGATGCAATTTTGAGGTCCTCAATCCAGACACTCTCCTCCTCCTGGCTGTGTCTTGAGATCCTGTCTGTGAAAATCACAAACAGGATCAGTGACAAGGGACAACACCGATGAAGGAACCCTGTCATAGGCCTTCTCCTATAACCTTGTTTTCTTGGTCTTTTGCAACTCATCCCGGATTACTTTTACCAGATAAGAACTGTTAAATATCAGACAACTCACACCGAATGCTGTATAGACATTCTGATCGGAGGCGCAGCAGCGATATACGGGACCTGGAGAAAACGCCGCCATGGAAAGCATGCAGGCACCTTGGTGAGGCTACGCCAGAGAGGAACACGGACTCCACTCCCATCTATCCACCTGGCATATCTCCGCTCCCTGGTCAACAAGATGGATGAATTCTTATCATCAACAGGACTAACTCTGACTTTGCATGCTCTGCTGCTTTGTGCTTCACAGAGACCTGACTGAGCGACAATCGCGGACAGCGCGAAACAAATATCGGGCTTCCAGGTGTTCAGAGTGGATCGCGTTACGGAGCTGACCGGGAAAACAAGAGGAGGTGGAATCTGCTTCTACATAAATGAAGGTTGGTGCACAGATGTCACAGTGCTACAGAGGACATGTAACGCAGACCTAGAGACTCTTGTTATCAATTGCAAACCTTTTTATTCTCCTCATGAATTTAAAAGTTTCATGCTAATGGGAGTGTACATAACACCGCAGACTAACGCTAGTGCGCTATGGCTCCTAGCAGAACTGATAACTAGCCTGGAGCTAGAACATCCCAACTCTCCTCTCATTGTTCTAGGGGACTTTAACAGAGCCAATCTCACCCACAAACTGCCCAAATACAGACAGCACGTCACCTGTCCCACCAGGGACAAAATCACACTGGACCACTGCTACACAACGATAAAAGACGCCTATCACTCTGTCCCCCGCGCAGCCCTCAGACTTTCTGATCACTGTATGGTCCATCTTATTCCAAGCTACAGGCAGAAACTAAAAGTTGCAAAGCCTGTGACATCTTATATCAGCTTTTGTGAGGATGTGTGCGTGCCCAAAAAGTCCTTCTGCACATACAACAACAACAAGCCCTGGTTTACAGCCAGACTCAAGCGGCTTCGTCGTGCCAAAGAGGAGGCTTACAGATGTGGGGACAGGACTCTGTACAGCCAGGCAAGGAACACACTGACAAGGGAGATCAGAGCAGCAAAGAGGAGATACTCTGAAAAGCTGAAAGCTCAGGTTTCAGCCAACGACCCCTTGTCTGTGTGGAGGAGCCTGAAAAGCATCACTGGCTATAGGAACCATGTGGAGGACCGTCAACCAGCAGACGACCTGAATGTGTTTTACTGCAGGTTTGACAAACAACACTCCCCCCTCACCCTCCCCAACTCAGACCCAGCATCTGCTTCTCCAAAAATCACCACCCTTCCCTCCAACCCCCCACCTCTAATGATCTGTGAGAATGATGTGCGTGGCCTCTTTAAAACGCAAAAGATCAGAAAGGCACCAGGCCCAGATGGCGTGACACCCTCCTGATTGAAAGTGTGGGCTGATCAGCTGGCCCCCATCTTCACACTCATCTTCAACAGGTCACCAGAGCTGTGTGAAGTCCCCTCCTGTTTCAAACGTTCCACCATCATTCCAGTCCCCAAGAAAACCCCCCATCAGTGGGCTGAACGACTACAGACCTGTTGCCCTGACATCTGTAGTTATGAAGTCCTTTGAAAGACTGGTGTTGGCCCACCTGAAGCACATCATAGACCCCCTGCAGTTCGCCTACCGGGCAAACAGGTCGTTGCAGTGAACATGGCACTGCATTACATCCTGCAACACCTCGACTCCCCAGGGACCTATGCACAGGCCTTCTTTGTGGACTTCAGCTCAGTATTCAACACCATCATCCCGGACATCCTCCACTCCAAACTGACCCAGCTCACTGTGCGCAGTTTTGACCCGTTTTGTTCCTTGAACTTCAATCCTGCTTTTCCCCTGCCCTAACTGCTGGATTGATATGCACAACAGGCCTTTTGTTTTTTGGATTTCTGGTGAGAATCTGTCCCTAGGTTCCTGTCTGCCTGATTTGTGTAGGAACTCTCTAGTTGCTCCCAATTTTCTGATTCAGTCTGCTGTAGGTCTAAGCTGTTTGCCTGGCCTGCTTGTTGATATATGAATTATTTCTGCTCCTCACAACTAAGCCTGTTTATTTGTACAGTGCCTATAAAAGGTATTCACCCCTTTGGATGTTTTACCCTTTTTATTGATTTTTATAAATCAATCATGGTCAATGAAATAATTTGGTTTTGACAAAAAAAACTACAAAAAAAAAAAAACTGTCAGTGAAAACAAGTTTCTACAAAGTAATGTCAAATAAAAATATGCAATGTGAAATGTGGGTGTATAAATATTCACGTCAGTATTTAGTAGATGCACCTTTCGCTGCAATCACAGCACTGAGTCTGTGTGGATAGGTCTCAGTCAGGCTTGCACATCTGGACACTGCAATTTTACTCCATTCTTCTTTGCAAAACTGCCAAAAGAACACTCCAAGCAACTCAGAGAAAAGGTTATTGAAAGGTACAAGTCAGGGGATGGATACATCAAAATTTCCAAGGGGCTGAACATCCCCTGGAGTTCAGTTAAATCCATCATCAAGAAATGGAAGGAATATGGCACGTGTCTAAATCTGCCTAGATCAGGCCGTCCTCACAAACTGAGTGACCGTGCAAGACGAAGACTAGCAAGCGAGGCCACCGAGACACCTATGACCACTCTGAAGGAGTTACAAGCTTCAGCAGCTGAGATGGGAGAGACTGTGCATAAAACTGTTGCCCAGGTTCTTCACCAATCAAAGCTTTATGGGAGAGAGACTAAGACAAAACCACTGTTAGGTATTTTTAATCAGATAGATATTGGATAGATACTTTATATATTAGGAATGTTAGCGGA